ATATGTCACTCACCGCCAAATTTTCAGCTCTTGCTAAATAACATATTCAAAAAAGGATCAGAAACAGTGTATCCTCTGAAGAGTCAAGATATGGCCATATCGTGTTCCTCAAATTCAAAATGGCGATGCTGCATGACATTGCAGTCAGGATGATCAAAAGCACAAATTATATGGTCTCGGATGCACTCTTCAGGGCGACATCAATTGTTGGTTTGCTCATTTGTTTTGAAATGTTGGTACTTTTGTCCCTTTTCACGTGGAATGTCCCATTATACCTCGTATTTTCTGAGCCAAATAAAGTCATAATAATTATTAATTAATAATAATTAAGTTGAAGCCTGTTATTTTCGTTGCCATTGTTATGATGATGAATGATATATAAAAAATTAATAGGAAAAGCGGACCATCCAGTTTCTTGAGTACTCTAACATGAGTCACATTCTCTGTAACGTGAGTCACGAAGAAAATACATAATTAAAAACTCTATGAATAGATTTTAGAGTTTATATGCTATGGTCATTTGATATGATCATTTGGTACGATCTGAAAATGAAAATCCAGAAGGCAGGGTGGAATTAACTTCTGAAAATTTTGTGCTTTTGTAACATTAATTACAATGGAATTACCCATATGCTGACGCCTTTCAGAAGTGGCTTCACCGCTTTGGTCAGTGTGTGCAATCACAGGGTGGATACTTCGAAGGACAGCAGTATTAACATTTTGGAAATACCGTGTATGCTCTGAATGAAATACTAGTTTTAAGAACTTTTTTACGCCCCTCGTGTTATCATCAATGGATAAGCATCGAGGTTCAAAGTACCATACCCAGAGAGAGCTAGGGGCACTTCTTGATGGTTGTTTGGAGAGGAGGCAACTACCAGAGGAGTTGAGGTGAAGGTGGTCCGGTGCGACGGATGCGTCTCCCAACTTAGGTGTAAGAGCAATGATAACTTGGCTGTCCTGTGGTGTGAGATGGTGGGAAACGCGATCGATGGCTTTCATATCATCGTGCAGCATAAGCTTATCACGTCTATGGAGTATCTCACGAAGCTGTGTTCTACTGTCTGGGCCTGAATGGCATCGAGGAGGGATGAGTGTCAAATGACTGAGTATCCTCTGGCTGAAACGTTGGTAAAACGCCAGTCTGGGCAAGTCCAGCCAAGTTGTACCGCGTCGCTCTGGCTCAGTGGTTGAGGGAGGGCCAGGTTCGAATTCGACTGGCGACAGGCAGTATTCTTCATGCTGACAGTGTATGCAGGTGCTGTTATTATTTGCAGGAACTACCTGTCCTCCCTTGGGTTCCATGATGTGAGAGTTAGGGTAATGAGCGGTAACGGAAGGCATAGAGCCTAAGCGGGATCGAAGTAGCCATTACATTCCCCTCGCCCGTGAAAGTGGGATCCAGAGTGACAAAGAGCGTTGAAAGATGTGGCAATGCCGTCAAGGTTGTCCGATAAGAATCATCCATTCTCCACCCTTCCTTCCTTTAGTCGCTTGCGGCATTTATCCTTGTCTGTGTGTCCGTCTCAGTCCACGATTATGGAAAAAATAAATAAATTCCGGTCAGGTTTAGTCAAAACGAAGTTACAACGTAAAAAGTCCAGTGTCTGAGAAGTCAGGAGCCATTAATTTTCCTTTCCGATGTGCCGACGCTCGCTTGTTAGCCCGCGCTGGATCCTGAGAAACATGACCTACAGCTTTTTTTTCTCCTCTTCGATTTCATACGACTTGGGTTGACTGGGCTATTAGGTGTGCGCCTGGCCTTCGACTTGACAGCGTGCATAGCCAGGAGATACCTCCATGGTTCTTGTCTCCTCAATCTACCGTTTGGCCTTCACGATAACTTATCTACAGTACCATAGGTTGTCTTTAGCCTCCTTCAGCGTCCTTCAGGGAAATAGGACATCGCTGATTTTTTTAAAGGGCCGTCGCGTAACTATTGCATAGTGGATTTGTTACAATTTGTTGTGACTGGCTACGTTTTGAGATTTCTCGTGCCTCCGACTGCCAGGCGATGGTGATGCCAATGCAAGATGAGGGCAACGTCACTAATGGCACGCGGTTGAACACAATATCTAACAATTTTGGGTAGACCTTTTCGATCTGAGCTGAGTGATGGAAAACATCAGACTCCATCCATCAGTCGGATAAGGAATTCTGGCGGCAATGGCGATAATGAATGACTTATCGGTGACTTACGTGCTCTCCTTTCCTTGCCCTTCCTGCATTTCGGCTTTGCCCGACCCAAGACCTATTTCCAAAATGCCGACCGTGTTTCATGACTTGCACCCAATCCATAAGCAACCTCTTTTAATTCCCTTTTCCTGCCAGAGGATCTACAATTATGTTCCTGCGTTTCAGAGAATCATTAATATCAATGACTCATTGTAATCATTCGTGATCCTCTCTTGCCCGGAATGCGCTTCTAATCCTTCCCCGCATCGTACTATGCCGGAAAACATTCCAGAGATAAAAAGGAGGTCCGTACTAGCAATATCTGAACTATTTTCTAAAATTTTGTCTACAGCTTTTTTCTTTTGAATCGACCGAGGGTGTGAACCTACCCGACCCGAACCGTGCAGGTCGGGTTGGGTCCGTCTTCAACCACTGCATGAGTCTACCTGATTTTTGTAGGGCTCTGAGTTCTCGAATTCGTCCAATGAGCAGTTGAGTGTACGTTTAGGGGTGTAAGGACAGTGAAGAATTATACATTACATTCTTCGGCGGCCAAGAATCCTGCCATGAGTATTCTAGGGATTCGGGTTATAATTTGAGTTCTTTGTGGGAAACTCATCCGAAGATCCAGGTGGTTCTGTCGAAAGGCACAATGTCGTCGGATTTTATGTTTTCTAACAAAAGCGTCAAATGCCACATAATGTTGAATGGACAATGGTCGAATGGGCATAATGTTGATTGTTACAATACCGAAGGCGTCAAAACGTGGGAAAACGTCGAATCTTCAAGATGTCGAAATCCGGTTATTCCTTTCCGTTCCTCGGGTCCTGGTTCATACAATCAAGAAAAGGAGATTTCTTATTTCTTATTTGCTCCCTTGAGGCAGCAAAGACTGCCTTGTCGGTTCCATGTTACTTCTTCGAAAGACATTCCTTCGCCACTTCGACTGGACGCTTCTTTGAAAGGCTTTCTTCGAAATGTTCAGTTGAAGAAGTGGCAGGGGAGGTGTCCGTCCAGGAAGTGTCTTTCGAAGAAGTGGCATGGAACCGCCTTGTCAACCTATCATCTGTCTGCATCAGTCAGCGTCGGTGGAGATGATTACATCAGTAAGAAGCGCACTTTCCCACAAATGTGTCAGTCGAATTGGGGCCGTAACCAAGACCACCATGAGATACGTGCATTCCCAGAAAGGTAGCAGATAGTTGTTCATGGGTACTTATTCACGCGTGAAAAGTGAGGAGGTGGAGCTTTGAATACCGCATTTTAACGGTTATTACATTTATAATCACCAATTATTTTGCCTTTCTTTCTGTACCCTGGACCAAGTGCGATTTTCCCGTGTTCGGCATGACGTGACTTCATTGACGGAATAAGTCCATAAAGTCCATTTCGACTTTTCTCTCGTTCGACATTTTGACGGAATACGATCCAGGTTCAGCATTTTCGATCCTGAACAGAGGAGAATTATTCTATGGGATCAGGTTTCCTAAAGAAGGAAACAGCATTTTTGCGGAAAGAGAATCGTCTGCAAGTACTTAGTCACTTGCAGACTCTGCAGATAGATTCACTCGATATATTTTGATAAAGCACCATTGCATGCGCCATGCAAAACTGATGCTTCCGTTAAACCTTCTCTGTAGAGTAGTTAGAAGGTGGAAGGAGCAGCCCAGGACCGAAAAACGTACGCGTATGAAGATCCGGAGGGCAGGGAGAGTGTGTTACAGTAGGTCACTGTGTCCACACTCCGGAAAAGCTCTTCTCGAACTGAACGTGGCTTGCCTAGCATCAATTTCCACCAGAGTCGAGATGGTGGGGGGGTCGCGGTTTTTTTTATGCACTTGCTTATTTCAATTCACACGCTGCAAGTACGGCAGTACTTGCATTGCGTGCATTGCCAGAACGCATCGAATATTTCTGGAGCCTCGAAGTGACAAGAATACTTAATGGCTTCAGAAATGTGGCTTTGTATCACTTCAGATCTGCATTCGCTCGGATCGGTCTTCAATTCCATGAGTGTTTTTGCTATTGCCATGTCTTCCTGCTTTTCTTCTCTCCCCTCTCCATCAATACGGTGGACTCCGAACGTGCTTAATTTAATCTTACCTTCAAATCCAAAATTCTCCCGAAAATCTTGAAAGAAATTTCCGTTAATCCAGTGACTAATACCCGTGTATCCTGTGAAGAAGATAGAATAATCCGATGCAGGGCTTCGATTGTAGAGTTTCGCGCGTCCCCACTTGAAGCTTCGGGGTTGGTGATGAAGTGAGACACTGAAAAAGTGCGAAATGACACTTCTGGATCCCATTGACCTATGAAGTGAGGTCACCATGATTTCCTTTTTTTTCCACTTTCGGCAGATGTATCTGCCATCTCTATCATGCGACACCTACTCTTACAGATATCATATCCGCCAGCATTTCTGCTCTCCGTCGCATTGGGGAAGTGCTCATGCCTCAGGTCAGGTGGCAAAATGAGAACTTGGGCAAGAACGAAGTAACCAACCGTGGGTTCCGGCCAACTTACGAAAAGAATAGCCCGTCTGATCGTATAGATCGTCCAGAGGTCAGAGAGGAGAGAGATTCTCCTGTAAAATGAGGCCATGTCCCTCCTAAGTTTACGAAATCGCGTCGGACGATGCAACAAAAAGCACAAGGACAGGATACAAGGGTGACGACGACCTCCGATCTTTCGAGAGCTAAAAAAAAAGAAGGGGCAGCAATATTTTGCTCAGTCATAACGGAAATTAACGCAACTAATCACCATTAGTTGCAACGTGTCGCAAGTTATATTTACCTGGCTAACGGAAGTAGTCTTCCTTTCGTCTGCTCAGTCCCTCAGAAAGGCTCGTCCTCGTTTCAGCGTCCCAGGTAGGAGCAATCAACTTGCGTGTCGTAAGTGTAATAGTTAATAGATTTACTCACTTGAATGAATTGCTTGGAAAGCCAATTTTCATCAAGTCGTTATGAAATTGTTGCTTCACCAACGTCTCTATTAATATAATTTTTTCAAGTACTTGTTTCTTATACCCAAATGCTCCGTTTATCTGGCTTCCGCTTCTCTTTCTTTCGATGGCTAACATTTTGGTTCTTGCAATATACTTGCGTTTCTGACAAAAATGTCCTCACATTCGAATACAGGTGCGGGTGCTCCACTAGCAGAACTTAATCGTAATAGCCAGAGCGGTATTTGTTTTAAGATATTAATTAAACTGCTGTTGATATTCTGTGCTTCTTCTAACTGAGGGTTCAGTGGTGGCTTTCGACCCACTATTATACATCAGGAATATAGAATGCTTGCACTGAAATTAACTTGTTCAAATAGGCAGGGCTCATTAGGAGAATAAAAGAATTCTGATGAGACCCCAAGGGTCCAAGATCGATCAGAGTGTAAGTCTGGAGGAACCTAAGACGAATAATTCACACGGATCCCAGATAGTAGTCGCAGTTGTTGCAATCAAGATCAACAGCGCCGAAAAGTATTGTCAATTTTGTGGTGCGTTTACCAATTCGTCGGTCAGTCTTGAGCGCATTCTCTCTTGTCCCCACAATTCATAATATGCCTTTCAATACGAACCGTGCTGAAATCGTAAATTCCCGGACAAATGTAAATGAACTAGCATGACTGTAAAAAGTTTTTTTTTTTTTTTTTCCTCCGGAGCATTTCACTTTCACCGCAGAAGTTCAGAGTAGTTATTTTATACCCTTATAAAAAAAAACTATGTAAACGCTGCAATGATCACCTCTTGACTTTCGAATAATCGGCGATCTTCCTTTATTCACTCCCATCTCTTTTATGAATTGTACAGCAATACCATCTTACTCCTTAAAGGAGTATAATAGGCCATTTAAATTTTCCTCTGGTTTCGCTTCGGTCTCGGTTAGGTCAAACTTCCTGTATGCTTTTCTTTAACGAAAAATAAACTAAAATATTGAAATCGAGTTGAGTTTAACTTTCAAGGAAAAATATATACCACGTAATCTATATCTATTTCTATAATCGATGACAAGAAACAAGAATCACCCCTAAAGTAATGCCTCCGATTTTGTCTACCGAAACTACTCGTGGTTCAAGCTCGAAAATGCACATGCAAATATTTTCAAATGTCCTGCCATTTTTTGTGAAGTTTCGCAATTCCTTCCCAGTAAGCACCGCCCGGTTTGTCCCACTTCCAGGTTGACGTTACACAGCTAAGTAGAAACGTACAAGGAGAGTTACAAATGATAGACGAACGTATTGTGTCAGTCAGATCATCTCGACCTCTTCTTTTGTAGGCACGAGCATCGGACATTGGCACGTTGCATATGCAGGTACTTCTGGCGTGCACATGAGGCGTCTTGTGTATAAACCATGGGAATCTCTCCTTGATTAGAACATCTGCCCCGTTCCGGAGATTTATGGATTTTTCTTTGAACATATGCACCTTCGGAGGGGCTAAAAGTGTACTTAGATTAGGAGTCAATGCATACTTTCCTGTGGTCCTCATTACATGTATGCACTTTACAAGAGCACCTATATGAATTCATGATTTTCTTTAAATTCGTTTCTTCCTCTGAACTATACAGAAATATTATGTATCCTCGTAACGGCTCAAGTGCATGTAGATCGAGATTCAGAACGATTGCCTGAATGAATGAATGAATGTGCAACTCATTAACAAGCAATGCCAAGGCAAGAAACTGTTTCTAGTGATATTTTTTTTACCCATATCACTCGTCGAAATAGTTTTCACGGCTTTCATTGATCAGATAACAATTTCAATGTCCTAAAGACGAATTGGACATTTAGTCCTAAATACAAAATGTCCAATTCCCGACACAGTACTGAAATCCTCCGCTAGATAGCGCTTGTGTTCCCCGGAACCTCCCCATCCAAGTCAAGTTCCATCGGGCTTTCGGAAGAAGCATTTTCTTCCTTCCTCTGTCCTCTTCTCATGATGAGGCTTATTGATTAATATTAGGTTAAAGTACAATTATTATGTTTCAATGGCACTCAAAACCTCCGGAAGATTTTGAAAGCTAAAGTTTTGCATAGGAACAGAGAAGTGTATACAGAGTTCGAAATTTTTTGACAACTTATTTTTTGGCGTTAGTCTTTTGTAGAAGAGAGCGGTCGTCCTTCTCAAGTACGTTGCGACGTTAAGGCCGTGTTGTTGATAATGTTGACGCTATGTCTGCTAGGAAAGCCCCTGAGATATCTAGCATGTCAAGAGTCAGGAGTCAGGAGAGTTAGTGATATCAAGAGGCGATTTCGCCCATTTCGATATCACGTGTCGAGGTCGAGCGTTCCTTAATTTTAGGGTAGGCCTAACCCTCTTAAAGCTTTATATTTTTGTATTTTTTTTTTTTTT